ATCTATCTATCTATCTATCTATCTATCTATCTATCTATCTATCTATCTATCTATCTATCTATCTATCTATCTATCTATCTAAAAGCAAGTGAAGCCATCAGATTCGCATCACCTTTTTCTGGAGTTCAGTTTCCATTTGCTCTCTGTGAACTTGCTTCGTGTTGTTCAGGGTCAGCACGGCTTTTCTCTCCACCTCAGCCATCTGCTCTTCAAACTCCCGCCTCTGTTTTACAACTTGTCCCGACTGCTGTGCAGCTTCCGCCCGCATCTTAGCAGCATCACCTGCACACATGAGTATAGGCTGGTGAAGATTCTCAGTTGTCCAGGTCATGGCAAATAAAAACAGTTAAAAACAAAACAACTGGTGTCTGGAGAGTGTGGAGTTCCAACCTCTATGAGTCCTCATTAGTGCTTAGATTCACCTGTAGATTAACCTGGAAACTCGGCCTCAACAATAGAGAGTTATTAGGCTCTTAGTTTACCTGGCTCACAGGAGAAATGTCTTGATCAGGTGTGTGAAGGTGTGAATTCAGGTAAAACCAGGGGTGAAAGTAAGACGGTACAGTCCGGTACTGCGTACCACTAAGAGATTCTGTGCCAGTACGCAGTAGGGAAGAGGGAGGAGCAGCTGTCAACTATAAAGCGGTCATTCAGAACCAGATCACAGCACTTTCTGTCAGAATAAACCTGTTAGCAGTAGGCAGTATAAAACACAATTAATCTGTTTAAAAATAGTTTTTTTCTCATCCCAAATCGTTTCTGAACGGTCCCTGCCAGCTCCTCTTCCCTCAAAGCTCGAGGCTTTCATGAACCACCAGGCGCGGCCGATTCATGAAGGCAAAATTAATTCGCCTCACAAAATAGTTCCTCCTGATAAGCTCAGTTTGTAATTTGTTGTTTTGATGTGTTTTTCTAACTACTTTTACTGTTCGTGAATCAAAAGCGAGACAGTGTGTGTGCGTCACGCTGTGCGCGTTGGCGCTGTTTTTCAGCACCATGCGTAATGCGCTCATTAGTGTGAGGTTCGCTGATGAGTTTGTCTCCGATAAAATCCTGCATCATGAGGCAGCACGTTCTATTGAATGTTTAGTCCAGATGTTTCCCTGATTTGCACACCTGGTTTGAATGAATGAGTGATTAACAATCTTCTGAAGACCTGCTGAAGAGCAGGGAAACAAGTAAAACATGCTGGATAGGGGTAATTGAGGACCAGGGTAGGGCAGCCCTGGTTTAGTCATTATTTAAAAAAGAAAGTGATGGGTCAAAGTTTATCATGACAGTTTTTTTAACCCTGTCAGTCAAAATGACAGACAGCAAAAAAAGTCAAGCACAACCTCTGTCCGCCCCACCAATATTTATGCTCACGAGCTGCTATTGTAAACGACCGGCCGTCAAAACTTGCACTACTTTCTTCAGGGGTGGATTAGCCTACGGAGGATTTCCCGGCTTGCATGTTCTTTACCGCACAGCAGTCAGCTGATCTGCTTGCACGGTCACGGGTGTACAGGGGAAAACAAATTATCTCTGTGGTGCTTTGTATCTGATCACAAATCAAATACAAATCTTGTCTCTCCTAGAGCCACACAATCTAAATCTCTGTCTCTGGCATAACATGCACGCTGCTGCGGCTCAAGCTGTCATTCCTCAGATAGAACAAAACCTGTCAATCAACAGGGGCGGTGCGAGTGGGGGTGGCCAGGAGGGGCAATGCCCCCACCCCTAGAAAAATAGTGGCCCTACCAGTTTTATCCTCTTGCGTTCCAAGCTTTTGTTCTATGCTCATTTTAATTTTGGAGGGTGTTGAAAATATAAATGTAAATTAAACATGAATATAATTTTTATAAAAGAAAAAAAAATTAAACTTACAAATCTAATCCCACTGAAAAAGGAAAATTGTCCTCAATATCAGGACGCAGGTTTTCAAGACATTAGACTATCTATCTGTCTGTCTGTCTGTCT